CAACACTTTACTGTAACGTACTACAATGAGACATCACCTTTATATGTTTAATAAAAATGTATTAAATTTGTTTTCGAAAAGCCATACAATTTTATATATATTGATAAACATCACTGCATACTGAATTTCTTTAAGGGTAGAGACTGTCTTTTGTGACAAACAGTACCTAGTATGTCTAGTTTTCTTAATTAAGTAATTGTCAGTTACCCCCACCTGGTTCCACAAAGTACCACAGGGACAATTTCAAAGATACAAAAAAAAAAAAAAAGAAGCACTTTCTTCAAATTGCTTCTTTATTCAAAACCACACACTTATTCGTCTTTCCCTCTATAGTTTACATTTTCTTAAATTCCAAACCATGGATGGGATTATCAGGTTAAATGAGCACAGTCTTTGTGTTCACTATAAATTTATTGTCATTAATAGCACCTTGGTATGCCATATATATGTGAATAATCCATATATTCATGTTATGCATGGTTATCAAATAACATACAAAATGTAGATGTTCCAAATTTTTAACAAAGGAACTAAAATAACCTGACATCGGTGGGATTATTTTTTTAGACATTGTAAGGAATAAATGAAAGACTTGAATCTTTTGGCTTATTCATGAAACATTCATGGTAATCAGTAATATTCTGTAATTCTTAAACTTTTCAAAAGCACAGGCTCTGTCTTATTCCTTGTTATAATTTCCACCAGGGACAGAAGAATAGCAGGTACTTTAATAGATGATTGTTAATTTGTATTGAATTATTTTTTAAATCCTAAATATAAAATGTAATTCATATGGTTAGACTAGACAACACATTTTTTCAGACATTTACAAATATATATTGTAGAAGATGCAAAATTTCATCACTGAGTGTGTCTCATTGATCGGTTTGCTACATTATAAAAAAGAGTTCAAAATGTTCTTCGTTTATAATCAGTTAATTTTCCAAAGTCAAAGCAGTGTTTAAATTTATTCCCCTTTCCCATAAAATCAAATACTGTGAGAAAATAATAAATTAATATATGAATCTATATTAACAATGCCAAATTGCCAAAATATGAAATATACTTAATTGCAATAGCCAACTTGTACCAAGTTACTATTCAAATTATATATATAGTTTTAAAATAACACTGATAGTTGTATGTCTTATATTTCTGCATTGTTCTTGTTTTCACATTTATAATGTGAATGTGACTACTGCTTCATTAGCTTCTTAAAATCCTATAATGATGTTACAAAGCAAGAATATTTTAACTGAATTTGTCTTTCAAAAATTGAATACAATTAAGTCAACTGATACTGACATAGTCAAATAGCAAAATGTAGGAAATAAAATTCTGAATGTATTAATAAATCAGAACTTTTTACACACTCAATTCATAACATCTGTGTCTTTATCTTTAGTCTTATGACTGAAGCATCTGGGTGAAAAGTAAAAAATACAGATATTTCTCTAGCACTTGTTATATATAATGTAAGCAGTCAGTTATAGGCAACTGTTCTGATGTCCAACTGAGCTTTTCATTTCATCTGAAATGTTCTAGATTGTGTAAAACAGGACCTTGTGTTTCAGCTAACTTGAGAAGGCTGTGTGTCTACTCTGGCATTTCAGATAGCTTTATTTTTACATTCCTTGGTTGCAGAAAGCATTTGTTAGCAGTTCAGATATTTTTCTGATCTTCAAAATCATAACCACAAAATCCTTACTTTAGTTATAAAGTATACTTAGCTGTGGCCCTGAAATTGAGGAGGATGAGTTTCTAGTTAGTTAGTAGTGACTTAAAAAAAGTATATAAAGTTGGCTAATCTTTAAACTCATTGAGATGGGAAAGTTTTCAATTATTCTAATTATACTTACAATAATTTGTTTATTAATTTTGAAAGGAAGTGTGAGTGAACCCCTCAAAAATAAAATGCAATCTACTAATTGTGAAACTTTCTGGGATTTCCAAGTAAGTAGGTTTAAATTAATTTACATATTCCAAAATCCTGATTACCGTAAAAAATGTATACATTAACAATTAAATCTCTCATGCTGTAGTCATAGAAAACAATTGATTACATGTTAGATTTCCACAGAAATATTGTTAGGTGTCTAAAAACAGTTTTTCAAAAGTAAGAATAGTGCAGTGTGGACTTGAATTGGAAATAAACTATGAGATAAGTAACTCTCTCCTGCTAAGAAACCTGTATATAGGTGGGATTTCCCATGATTCAGAGAGTGTGATGAACACTTACTCACAGCACCCCTCCTCCCAGCCATCCTCCTTTACAACAGAAAATAAAGCTTTAAAGAAAAAGGAATTGACCTATCAGTCAATGCTAGCCAGAAGTAATGTAGATTAGACTTCTAATAAAAATTTACAGTTTTCTCCTTTAACTCATTAATAATAGTTATAGAAAGATTAAATATTGTGAGATTTCAGATTTGGCCATCTATTTTTTTTTAAAGCAGAAATATCTAGAAAATAGATCCTTGATATAAAAGACTAGCAAAAATAAGAGTTAATCCTTTATTTTTTATATCACCACTAACTGGGCGATTGGATTTAAGCAAAGCATGACAAAAGGAGTCAGAAAGATAGTAAACAGCACTATCATCAAGCTGTGAACGTGGATAACTTTAACTTTTGGATATTATAGACATCTTCTGTTAATATGCTTTTAAAAGTTGACTTATAAAATCACGAAATTGTGGCATGTGCTTTCCAATAACTACTTACTGTATTAGTTAAAACTAATTTAAAATTACTGCATTTGTAGTAAATGCTATGAATCCTCACTTCTTTTAACGATTATGTTTCTTAGAATTCTGGAATTTCCTAAACCACAACGTGTAGAAGGAGGTGCACTCCTAGGCTCTTTTTCTCAGCTTTGTGGTTGTTTACGAGGTTCTTTCCGAGATCTACTATTTCTACAGGGGAGCCAAGAGTTCTTACTAAATGCAGCTGGGTATGGGAGGAAGCCCAGGTACTGCAGCTGTGAAACCTCTGCTCGGGCATGCGTTTTGGTTTACACGGCCGGGTTAAGGAAACACATTTCAGCGATTCTTGCACTCATAAGGCTAGGGTGCAGGGCATTTATCTCTGTGTCTAAAACGATCTTTGCACTGAGTAATCGCGTTTCGACGTGAGACCAAGTCATTGGGGTTTTACCTATTTTTGGCATGAAGTAGGCCCCTAATTACCACCGAGACCCATCACGGGCAAGGAAAGTAAGAAATAGCAATCGCATCGCGTATACGTCGAGTGCCAGCGGGAGCAGAGCCCCCAGGAAGCCGCAGGAAGCGTGCGCTTCCAGGAGGGTGTGCGGCGCGCGGGGGACTGCACGCGCGCGGAGCTTGTTAAC